CATATGTATATATAGTTAATTATACAATGCTATTTTTGTGTCTAAATGACTTTACTCAGCCAATAACCACCTTTTCTCATATACTTTTCTAAAACGTATAATCTTTGTAATATTTCGCAGTATTTTTAACATTATATAAGTTGAAGGGTTACTTTGCAATATCTAATGCGCACCGTATGAAAATCGGTCATGAAAGTTTAGCATAACTAGCTCTTTTAACCGGCTGTTTTCTTCTGGATCATTATAAATAATTTTATCACTAATTGTTCCACTACACTTTTTACGCTGCTAAATGGACTACAACTTAGTTGCTGTAACGCTAGCTACTTTTATACTTCATATTTCTTGAAAGCAATTTCCTAGGCGTTTGCTACAAACATATTATTAATATTATTAGTACTATGTTTTATTTGAAATGACTATCTTCAGTGAACAGTTACCGATTTTCATATAATTTTCTAAAAAATTCATATTGTTGAAATTATGTAGTATTTTTCCACTCTGTAATTGATGAGTCACTTTGCAATGTGTAACGCACACCATATAAAATCGGTCGTGAAAATTTAGCATAACAAGTTCGGCTAACCAGTTGCCTTACTCAGAACCACTTTACATAACTTTATCACTGATTGTTCCACTACTCATATCACTCTGCTAAATAGGATATAACTTAGTTGCTCTAATATCAGCTATTTTTGTACTCCATAACTCTTAAGGGAAACCTAATTTTTTAGTCTTTTGTAGTAATCCACTTGTTCACTAGTATGATGATAATACTGCTAACAATGTCCTCTGGTATTATTGTGCCATGTGACCCAATGGGAAGCACTTGTCATGAAAGCTGTTAATGTGCAGCATACTGTATGATTGGGACCGAGTCAAAGCAATCCAATGTTACAACTGCAGTCATTGTAAAAGGTCTCAGAGCTTAATGTCAAAAAAGGAGGGAGGGTGGTGCATGCCGATCAGCAGATTTTGTAGTGGTCACAAATGTGAATCGCTCCGATCTGTAGGACAGCAACATGCATTATTTTGGCAGCTCGAAGTTAAACATGAGTTTAGATACTGAATGTATAAAAAATTTTTAAATTAGATTTTAAAAAAGTTTAAAATACTAAAGCAATAATGACTGTACAGTTTTAGCTTGTAAAAAAATAATGCTTTCGCTCCTAACATCTACAAGCCTGCTCAGTTTCTTGTCAAGATGCTATCCCATGGGCCATACACAAGTTCGCCAGGTATCCTACACGTCACCATATCGAACAGGTTTTTTATTTATTTTTTTATTTTTGATTACAGCTTGACGCCACACTGTATTTTTAGTACAAGTATGGAATTTTCAGCATGGATATCGGTGGCCCAAATTTTGCAGGCCGACCATAGATATCGGGTGTGCGTCGGCAGGGGATCGAACCCCGGACCATGTGCATGGTCGGCGAGAGTCCTAACCACTGTGCCACCGACGCACAGCCACTTCTCTCTGAAATGTCACTTATATACTTCACGATTATCCTTCTACCTAATTACTATTATACCCTATTTTATCTCAACTTCCTAGGCCTTTAGTAAAGCTGAAATTTACTCTTTTTTCTCATTCACACTCTTCTCTCGCATAAAGTTCGGTTGCTCTGATGATAAAAAACATAACAACAGCACTCATGTTTGAGAATAACTTTATTTTCATAGAAAACGTCATAGTTTTCCACAGTAAGACCAATATGGTTGGCATCATACATTGCAAATGTGCACTATCATATCAAGTACTGTATAGCTTATTCTTGTATTTTTCTTGTAAATATACTTCCAATAATGTATTATTCATGACTGTATTTTATACCACTTTGTAGCTGTGCAGGATTTTCTCCTCTTCCTGAAATAGCGTTCAAGCACGTGGGGTCACAGTACTCAATCATGTATATATTTTGTTTACCGATGGGCCATTACTATCATCATCAGGAAATGGAACGAAGTTTGGGTTGTCTCGCTCAAATTCGATGGAGACCTTCGTGAAAGATTTACAAATTAACAATAATAAGAATCTGTTCCGGTTGCTTGCACTATGTAATTCAACAATTTGAACTTTTAAAAAAGTGATAATCTTACTATCCCTTGTAAACGTTGTACTTACCTCAATATTGGTTGGTTATCGTATGCCTACAACTACTGGCTGAAAACGAAACGAAGTCGATTTTCCTGCGCAACCTGAAGGACTGCTGTTCAATTCAATAATGATACGACATGGGTCAGACAAAGAGTGTATTTATACATATATCAAATATTTAGCTGTTGAAACATTATTAACTTGTAGACAATCTACTACAATCTACTTCTATACTTTATACTTCTTAAACGCGATTTCGTAAGCATTTGTAAAAATACTTGTATACATGTATGCATGTATAAATGTGATACTGCTAAGAATGTCCTCAGGTATCGATGTATCTGGTGACCTAATGGGAAGCGCTTGTCATGAAAGCTATTAACGTGCAGCATACTGTATGACTGGGACGGGCTTAAAGCATTGCAATACTGCAACTACAGTTTGCAGAAAAATCTTAGGACTTAACATCAAAATGGAGGGAGGGTGGCGCATGCTGATCAGCAGATATGGTAGTGGTCACAATTGTGAATCGCTCCAATCTGTAGGACAGCAGCATGCATTTTTTGACAGCTCGAGAATTAAACATTAGTCTGGACCCTCAACAAAAAATAATAATGAGGGTTGTACAGATCTAAATTATAAAAAGTTATTTTACTTCTACCATCTACAAGCCTGTTCAGCTTCTTGTGAAGATGCTACCAGTTGGGCCCTACAGAAATTCGTGAGGCATCTTACAGGTGAGCTTGTTCTACGGCTTCTAATTTTCCATATCTTTGAATTCAATCCTCACTTAAATATCACTTACCTACCCCACAATAATCTTTTTATTTACGCACTATTATACTCTATCTGATCTTAACAACCTAGGCCTTTATTGAAGCTAAGACTTGCTCTTTGCTCATATTTGTTGCTTGCACAAAGTCTGGTTGCTTTGATTAAAAACACAACAACACCAATGTTTGAACAAAGCTATCTTTTCATCGGAAATGTGATAGTTTCCATGCTTAGACCAATATGGTTAGCATAAAATATTGCAAATGTATACTATCATTTCAAGTACTATATAGCTTCTTTTCCTTGTATTTATCTTGTAAATATACTTCCAATAATGTATTATTCATGATCGCATTTTATACCATTTTGCAGCTGCGCAGAATTTTCTCCTCTCCCTGAAATAGCGTTCAATCACAGGGTGACATAGCACTCACCCAGATATATGCTGTTCACTGGTTGACCATAACTATCAGCAGAAAACGGATCGAAGTTTGGGTTGTCGCTCAACTTTGATGGTGATCTTAGTAAACAGCTTACAATTTAACATTTATAAGACCTTGTTCTGATTGCTTGTACAATAATTGAACAATTCAAGCTTTTGAAAAAGTTTTAATTTATGATACTTCAGGATTGTAATTTATAACATTACTGATCGTGCCTGTAAAAATGGCATACATTTCTTGTAAACTTACCCGTACATACGAAATATAAATTATTATTATTATCTAGCTTTCAGGATGAAAAAGTGACTACGATTGTCGGCATCTGATTTTACCTGTTCGAAAAAGTCATATTATACTGGGAATTTGTGTGAAACATCTAATTACCAAGTTCACTTGAAAAACGAAATGAATCTTTCATTCTGTGGACTACCAACTTTCTTTGGATTGTATTTCATCACTAATATAATAGGTTTTCAGGAGGAGAAGCGTTGATGGACTTCATGTGGACTACACAGATCAAGATGGGTGTATACCCTTTGGTGTACAATCGTTATAGGTATTTCTGTTACGGACGACTTTCTATTTAGGATGTCACCACGTCGCCACCATTAGGCTAGCAGCAGCGGAATTAAAAGCACCTCGTAATATCGAAGAACTTTAAATTAGCTCGTTAGGAGTGATAGCCAAGAGGACGATGTCTCATCGTCCTCTTGGCTATCAATGTCTTGAAATTTTTTGATCAACTAACAAGATTTTTTTGACTGCGTATTTTTGCATTAACCATATGACTATAAAAGTGAAAAGCCTGAACTGCTTAATATTTTCACTGGATAAAATATAAGATCAGAGGCCTGAGGTGGTCTCTGATGGGTTCGAATCCCAGTGGATGCGTACTGATGAACAGTCTAAAACTAGAACGAAATATCTGTCCAGTAATCATAGGTTTTTTACCACAAAGGATAGCTCACTAAAGGGCGAAGACTCGAACGCGCTCCCACTTCTTTCCATTGAGAGTTAACCGTACCTGGAACTCATTACTGGCAGACGTAGGTACTACACCGCCAGCGGACAGCTTTAAGAGAAGGCTGAACAATTATGCAGCGAAGCAAAAGCTGCATCCAAATGCCTATCCCCCAAAAATTCACACACTATTAATGGGTAGACACCTAAACTCATCGTTTAACTTCATATTCTCTCTTGTCTTACTCTCCTGGCCACTACAACTACTATACCCTTAACACCATTATTACTACTGATACGTATATATACGTATTTATTTTTGTACTATACAAGTAGATATCAGTTTCAGATTTCATTAGCCGCCTGTTTTCTTTTTTTTTTCAGTCTACATAACCAACATTAATTGTATATGTTATTATTACCTCTTTTTTGTGGCCGACACTGGAGGAAAAACGGGTGAAAGCACCAACTTTATTCACACCAGTAACAATGTCTTAACAGACCACATGCTATAAGATACATATAATTCCCAGTGCCACTCCTTTTGGAGTAAACCAAATCTACAACTGTATAGTGGCGGGACGAACTACGCAAAAGTTTTACGAAGACCAAGCACCCTTGCCTCATAACCAAGAAGCACAAAGGAATAAAAGTAGCCTACACTTATTCACCAAAGAATGCTATTGGATATTGGAAATTATGTTTGTTTAAGTTAGTTGACGATTTAAGCTCGCTTTTTAAGCAGTGTAATCTGTAACTGTGAGATTAGAATTGCAAAACTTTGACAAGAAGAGCATGGATTTTCAGACATTTCAGACAAATGCAAACAACTTTTTCGGGCGTGTTATACAGGTGTGTTTTTAATAATTGATTGCAAGTAAAACCACTGCAGATGACGGAAGAGGCATTCAGTATTGCTGAACGAACACCGTTGGATGCAGCACTAGATGAACTTATTAAAGAAGGTGAAAAGCGAAGAAAATGGGCGGAAAGTCTCATAGAACAGACTGAAAATATGATCCAGCCAAATCCAGGTGAGACTCACCGTGGAAATCACAATTTATTTCATTCTTTTGGTGTTCTGGAAAATTATAGTCCCTTTGATTTGATATTTGGTTGAGCGGTATCTGTTACGATACAGAAATTTGAACAAAAAGCACTCATGTACTTGCCATGCATATTTACATATAAGGTATCAGAGCGTAAAGGATCAAATTTTTTATCAATATAGGTCAGGATGTTTACGAGTGATGATTTGGTCATTATACCTCTTCCCCGTAGTCTTAATCCGGAAAAGTTCTGACATTTATCAGTGAAATTTCCCTATTACTTATACTGTCACCTTATATATGCATATGTTTGGCAAGTAGATGTGCGATCAGAAGGTCCGAAATGTGTTGCACTAATACATTGCCAGATTTGGATAAAACAAATTTCCTCAGTCTTCTTTTCGAGATTTTATAAAGGTAACTTATTGGTTCAAATGAAAGACAAACATCACTATGCAATGTTTTGAGCAATATGTTCAATAGAGCTATCTGATAACTGCTTTTAAGGACGGCAGATGTCTTTTAAAGGAACTATGTGATATATATAGACAAACATCAAATATAGTTTCATGTTTCTGCTTAAAGACTGAAGGCATGATTAATTACAGAAATATATGGCATGAAAAGAATTTCTGGAAAGAACAAAATTATAACTTCAAGCGTATTACACCAACATAACCTTGGGTACATATTCAAGTTATTTCCAAATATGAACAAGTGATCTTAGTTCTGTAGGCCACATTTCTGTTATTAGAAAAAAAATTAGAAGGAAAATCAGAATCTAATATGAGATGTAATGAGTGATAATAATTCCAGTTTTCATAAAAAATCTGCTGTAGTAAATTCATTTGTGGTTGTTTCCCTTAAGGTTTTTATCAACACTCCCCTTATGTTAAAGTGACCAATTCTGTCAGTATGTTTTTAGTTTCGGTCAGTATATTTACTCAAGAAATAGGACTAAGCCAACCCACTAAAAGTTTCAAGAACAAATGATAGGTTTTGATGTAATCTTGAATAAAGGTGGGACCCTAATTTTCTGAAGTATTTAAAAAAAATAAGAAATTTACAACGAAATAGAATTAAACAAGAGAAAGACATGCTAGTCACATAACGTTTATATTATCATATTTGATTAAATCGACTTTTACACTCTGACTTTGTAATAGAAAATGTGCTGTTAGTGAATTATTTAAGGCACATGCAACAGTGTTTCGCTAGGTGGCTCGAAAGTTTCAGCTTTTTGTGAAAACTATTTGCTGTTGCAGGGCCATTCATTAAAGATGCAAATTACTGAAACAGTGGTGCAGAACTACGGTAATCACAACTGCCTTTTGGATTAACAAAGAATTTCACTGAACAAACAATGTTGTTCACAAACGAATTCGTTGCGGTGATTTTGCTGAAAAAGTGCGTCACTATGTAGTTAAACAGTTATGTTCTATGTAGCAATTTCTACTAACTTCTAGTAAACGTCAAGAAATCTACATGATTTGTTAGATATAACTGTCACAGTTCAGTCATTTTAAATCTTTGTTATTATAGTTAATTTTTGTTATCGAGGTTTCATTTGGTCCTTAATTTAAAAGTTATGAGTAAACCATATAACTAAAACCTGTTAACTTTTCCTTGGGGTGTAATTATAGTCCTAAAGACTATAAACGTAACAGGATTGTAAATTAATATCAACAGTTAATCGAAACACGTTTGAAGATGAAATGACCCTTGTAATAATAGAACTAGAGGCTAGAATTTGTTATCGGCAGTTGATAAATTTTTCTACCCACTCCTTCAAAGACGTACCATAAAATTCATAAAATTGTACTGCAGTATTAACACGTGCCCATGGCATACTGATATGAGGAGTTCTTAACAGAAAAGTTGATGATTTCGTCCTCTTAGGTAAGAGCGACATCAATAACAATAACAACGCTTCAGAAGAGTTTCATCATGCTATTAACACTTAAAATCCTAAATTAAGTTGCAGTTATAACCATTTTTGCTATTTAGAATTTACATACTTCACCAAGTTTTTTTTCCTTCACGTTCCCCAGTGGAACATAGGACTTCAAGCTAGTGGCTTGAAGTTTCTGTAGCGGTGTATATTTTACAGGATGGGGTTGCTAGCTTCATGCCCAACCTTTCCGCTTTACCAGCATTATTTCTGGCTCAGCCAGGTAAAGGAGTGCGTCGGCCGGGGATTGAACCCCGAACCATTTGCATGGTCGGCGAGCGTCCTAACCGCTATATCATCACTGCACCAAGTTATTTAAAAAAATAAATTAGTAAATTTAACTGGCATAACTGAGAAGCTATCTATGATTTCAACTTATGGAATGGTAATTGTTAGTTGTAATGGAAATAATGTAGTCAATAAATGATGAATTTTCCCCTTTGTTATAGCTCAACGAGTTGAAGATCTTATTCTCAAAAATATGGACAGAAAGAAAATACGAATAAGTGCTGGTGAACAACTGGGAGATAGTATGAACAATATCGGAGACCTTCTTGGAGCAAGAACTCCTGGCGGCAAGTTATGAGACGTCGTAATATTCTTCTGACTGCATTTTGATATTAATTTATGTATTGCTGCATTCTGTTTTTAACTCTTTACATTCTGAATCTACATTTATAGACTTAAGGAAAATCTGATATGATCAACAGAAGCTTATGTTTTACTTCAGATAATCTGTAGGATATCTAACGTGCCGAACTACCTAGTTTGTGCTAATAATGGTCTGATTAACACTGTAAGGTGAAGGCCCGAAATGAAATCGAAAACAAGCAGTTTCGTGACATATATGGTTTAGATATAGTTTACTTGGTAAATTATCACTAAAGCTGAAATTAAGTTTTTGTAATATGCACATTTATTCATCAATTGTGCTGGTGATTGGTAGAAACACTTAAACATATGGATTTATATTTATTTCAGTGGCGAAACTAATTTAACCATTAGTCATAGTACAAACAGAAAGTACTCTAGTAGTTCGGAACAATTTAAGACCTTTTGTTTCTTGATAAGAATACTTCCCCATTCTAAAATGATTTTCAGTGTCTTTAGGTTAACTGCAGCTTCTTATTACATTAAACTTTATTAAACATTCAGACAATCATGCTGAAGAACTTGCATATCAGAGAACATATTCTTCCATTACCGAACAAAAAGTTATTGTTCCTTTAGTTTTTAAAAGTATCAGTGCTATTGTATTATCGATTATTCAGCACATTTAAGAAGAGAATTGTCTATCTGTATGAAACAATGATTCAAGCAATGCAATGTTTAATTTTCATTCAGTCTTCTAAAACAGCACATTTTGATTCGCATTTTTACACTAATCACTTGAACGAACTATCATAATCAATCAAATTTTACTCATGTTTTGCTATATATAATATTAAAAACGTGAATTGGTACAAAAGATACTAGCATGCATTTATTAAGTAGATCTCGTGAGTGATTTATTATTTGATCAGAAAAGTATACAAACTGGTTTCATTCAGAGGTATCATATTTATGAATCGACTGGTGTAGGATAACGATAACATATACCATTACTGAATTCAGTACATTCCCTCTGTATAAAAGGTGATGCAATTTCTGTTTCTCTAATTCTTCATGAATATCAATACATTGTTAGTCATAAGCTTTTAATTTAGCGGAAAGAGACGCTTTCAACACAGAAATTTTAAAGCTTACAAGTTTAGAAACGATATAGATGTATATATTGGTGTAGTACGTTTTTCGTTTTCTTTTGCCTTCGCAATGATTTTTTTCAGCGGTGATTAGAGTTAGTATTCCGTAAAATTCAAAATAATATTTAGTTTGCATGAATTATAATACTGTATAATGATGCTAACTGAATAATATTCTGAAAGATACTTTGCGTGAAATTTCCTAAAAACTGAGAACGATAATTAAATAAAATGTGATCTAAACATATTTCAACTTTATGAATGTATTTTGTTCCACACATAATACATTGTAGTTCACTGCATGGTCATATAAAGTTTCTAGTTTATATTCTAATACCGTGTCATATTGTGAAAGGATAAACTTCTTTTCAAGGTTCATCTTAAAAAGAATTGTCTTTACATTAAGAAAAGATAAAAATGATTAACTGATGAGCTGTAGTTTTAATGGTGAATAATATTGAGAGGTGAGATGTTTCGACTATTTGTCAAAAGAGGAAGAGGTTAATTTTCGGACAGTTTTCATTGCGATTTAATACCAACTGAAGAAACATTGGAAAGGAAGAGAGGATTTTGAACTGCTATTTCAGTGATGTTTACAGACTTTTAATGATGTTCATCCACGACTTCACAGATGACTAGAATTTTTAAGATTCTGTCAAAGTATACCTTTTTTGAAACTCCAGCAATTAATCTACTCGTGCAAAGGAATGCCCATTTAAAACTACAGTATTGTTCCATGACTTAGCTAAGACGCATTTCTATCAAGCAATTGGGTGTATTAAGGTATTGTTTGTTTCACTTCTTTGTGGCATCGGAATGATTGTCAATAAGTGCGTTAAGAAATATTAGAAGGAATGCAAAAACTGACAAAATTCACATGAAATCTATGCATAAAGAGAAAGATGTGTTGGGGTTTACGTTTAAAGCTTGTCTGTGTCTGTAGAACTTAATTACCCATTGATTGGCTAATTAAATGTGCTAACAGTTTTGAAAATAAAAACATTATCATGGTACCAGATTTCTTTTGTTGCCGCAAACATAATTTTTCTAGTATTTAGACTGTGAATGCTGACAGCTAACCACTCAGTATTTCATTACTTTTCACAGAGGTAAGAACAAATCCAGTTGCTACGTCGTAAAGTAGAGTAAAGAGGCGGGAAATAATAGATGGAGAAAGACATTTAATCAGAGGAATAAGATATGAGATGATATTAAGAATTTCCATGATTTAAAAATGAATGAAGTGTGGTTAAACTTCAATTCTAGTGATTGGTTGTGAACTACGATATTGGCGGTTTCAAATCTTTGATTTTAAGCCTTTCAGTAATTCCAAGTAGACAAATTATGCCTCTCCACAAGATTTAAAGTGGCACTCATTCAACGATTTCGCACCCTGGATCACTCACTCAACACATTAGCTAACATTATCAATCAATAAGAATATCTATGATTAAAAGATAATTATGTATAAATATATATCTGTTTCTATAATGATTAGGTTCAGCACTTAAGACTTGTGCAGCGAGTCAAATAAAAATTGGGCAAGCTGAACAAAAATTACAAGAGACAGTTACTGCAGATTATATTGAATGGTTACGTGCATATATATCAAATGAAGCCAAAATTGCCAAAGTAAGTTCATGATTAATTTTATTATGATAGTAGACGTTGAAATTACACGTTAACTTTTCTTTTGATTCAGGTTTAAACAAGACTTATCAACTCTGGCATCAATATGATATTTCTATTTTAATAAAACCTGTTTAAACGTGTTCTAATATAGCAAATGGTTCAATTCACTCAGAGAGTTGCAGACAGTGACTGTTGTTTTTTTAGGTTGCATAACGTATTTCCAAAATGTAACTGATAAACGTATGCTTACTGATCAGAATATATCCAACTGGTGAAAATCTTATCGCCGGTAGTTAGTATAGAAAGTGACATGTTTATTTTTTTTCCACAGTGAATACCCATTGTAATGTGAGGATAGATATTCTGTGAAACAAAGTTACTAGATTCCACTCTTGTGCGCATGAATTACAAAGTGTTCGCCTTTGAAACGGAAGACTTCCGGGTTGGGGAGTGGGAAGGGTTGCAAAAGAGCAAGGTGTAGTCAGACTGAAGCATGCGATCAATGCACAAAGTTTGTAATTGTTATGCAAATCCATATAATTAATTCTACGTTCCTATGTTAGTAATTTCATAGTTTGGAGACTCGTGCTGATACGACTTAAATGCTTACATAATATGCCATATTTACGCAGTTGTCTTTGAAGTTCTGAACATTTTCGGCAATCCTCACTTCGCTATCTTCTTTTTCGAAGGATCCATGTTCATTCACTGTGTTATCAGTACATTTCTCTTGTTTTACAGATATTACTTCAGTGTGGCAATTTGAACGGGTGTAATTTCATGTTATGACTGGAAGTGACTTGTTTGTCTGACTGTCTTTCGTAAATTGTTTATTTGGATAGAGACAGAGTAGATGTTGACTATTCAGTTCAGCTTTGCAGTTGCATACTAGAGCAGTAATAACGTCCGCAACGTTGCATCATGTTCATGGTAGGTTGTGACTGATATTCACAACCAATTTCTCCAATTCTTTGAGTGTATGTTGATAAATGTTTGTCAGTGGCTTACAGTTGCACTTCCTGAAAGATACTTTCATTTCTAGGCAATGTTAGAACTTCAGACACATTAACAGGCTAATATAGAACCTTTCATAGATGTGCGCTACTTCGAGTTGTCAGATTCAGAAACACTTCAAGAAAGTTAATTATGGAGACATGTCATCTCGAAATATCCACTCCCAGTTTGAGGAATATTAAGCTGCAGTAATAAATAGTATTTTAACAGGTTATTAAGCCCATCTTGTAAATACAATCTGTACCTAGGTGAGAAAGATTTTACGCATGCTATCTCCTCAAATTCTTTCTGTATTTAATCAGATTTTTCCTGATAATTTTATTAAATTGAAATTATCCAGTTTTTCTTTATTTGTAATGATAGCAAGAACGAGAAAACTTGGAAACTGCTAGACTGGATTTGGACCGTTTGAAGACAGTGCATAAACGCGCCAAAAATGATAAACAAAAAGTCAGTTTTATATTTCTTCTTTATATTTCTTTTGTTGTATTTGCTTGATGGTAAAAACCCTGTAAACTGGTTTTAAGAATCTAATTATACAAGGTTTTTACGACGGTCGATATTCGTTGATAGAAACGAAGTCTAAAGCTTTGTTGAAAGTGTGTATGTGCACGTATGTGTTTTGCGTAAAATATTAATTTCTTCAACAATATACAAAGATTATCACATCGTCCATTTACTATTGAAATACACTGATACATTGAAGAAAAGTCCGGAATGTTGGTTTTATTAGGGAAAGAAAAGAGTCTCTCCGCTGAACATCTTCTCTTTTTATATGAATGAATGGGGATTTTTAAGCTACTTAAAATAAAGAAATGTCTTTTCCAATTGAATGCAAAGTTACCTCGTGAAAACTGACACTGATTGTTAAAAGGGAGGTTTGACAGACTTAATAGTTTGACATGTTTATGAATATGCTTAAATTCGCTTAAAATAGTTAGTTTCAATTTAATACAGTATGTACAAGTGAATATAAAACTTGAAGTCAACTGGTGGATGATGACTAGTAGTGGAATCCAGGATGCGGATATACCTGCAGATACCTGCGGATACCTGCATTCCCCAGTGAGTGATGCTGTCACCACTGAGGCTCAAACTCATCACCACTGACTGGGTAATGCCGGTATATCTAGTAACGAGTCAAAAATAAGACGAAATGCACGTTGTCCTGGATTCCACTGCTAGTCATCATCCACCAGTTGACTTCAAGTTACATGACCAGACAGTGTCGAAGCATCAACACAATAGGAGCCGACATTTCAGCCTCAGAACGAGCACTTAGGTCCAGTCAATCAGCAGGAAAGTGCAAATTGAATATAAATGAATATAAAACTGTTTACAGGAAGCATGTGTGAATTTATCAACATGTTAATCCTGCGATGTATTTGTTAAATGATGAAGTATTTTCATTTCAGTGAATAATTTGATTTATTTTAATTCCTATTTTAAATAAAAAGTTGAAAGAGAAAGAGTAGCCAGCGAAATTGTCAGAAAAAAGTAGCGCTTTATTTATCCGATTGATTAGTCTAGTATCATTCACTCTGAAACCTACTCATTAGAGATTTACACATTTTATTTATTTGTAATGCTAAACTGATGGTAATATGATGATTGAATCTGACAGCTTCACTTGAAAAGAGAATCAAACTCGCAGACTACCAGAAAATCTGCAGTCACGCATATTTGTTTAACTGTGATCAGTTCCACGTCCCTATGCTTATTTTTCTTTCACTGAAAGAAGATACATAGGTTTGCTGGCTTCCCAAAGGCTTTCAACAGTCCACGTCATTTTGTCTCTTTGATTCCAGTGAAGAATAAGTTTGGTTTTGATACTTCTGTTGTGCTTTGAAGTTTCTATTGGGTGGCTAGCCCCATGCTCAATCCACCGTCTCTTAGGGGATTAGGACCTGCTAAACGAGGTTAAGGAGTGCATTGACCGGGGATCAAACCGCAGACCATGTGTGTAGTTGGCGAGTATTCTACCAGTGAACCACCTATCCATTTCATACTCAAGTAAAGTGTCTCACGCATTTTGCCAAACACGCATCATCCAGAAAAAGTTAGCTGTTTTGAGTTGTTAGTCATTAAGGTCATGTATATCCTTCTACTATCTGCTTGTTGAACTCATTGTTATTGAATATACTTAGCAAAAGTCACTTTAGGAACGAATATTCTTTTCATTTTTTCAACCAAGGATTTAGCTCGGCAGTTAGAAGAAGCTCAGTTGAAATTCAATCGACAGTGTGCTGCTACAAAAAAGGTTTTAGAAGAAAGTGTTGCTAAATTTGTAAGTCCTATTTCTAATGCGTTTTGTCCTATAAGTCATGTTAGAAACATTTGAATAAAAAATGCTTATCTAACAGATACCATGTGTTGTAATGATGTTGAGGTGTGAAGAAACTAATATGAAGAAAGAATGGGTTAAAAAGGTATAATAATATACCTGGAAGTTAAAACAAGAGGGAGCTCATCAAAATACATGCGACAAGATTGTTTCGTCAACGATTACTAATCACTGTAACATCTTTGCAAATTATCATTGGTTATTCCTTGCTTCCCTAGTAGGAGACAGGGCTTCATTAGGACATCAACTCTATCAATTTCGTCCAACTCTACCACTTCTCACAAGATTCCATCACCTCTTGACATGATCTTTCCCACGCCATCGTCGGAATCCCGTTCAACTCTGCGGTCCTTATTCACTTTCTACTCCACAGCCTTCCTGGTGTGTGATGTCTCTTGAAGGTTCCCCAAGCCTAGATCAAATCTATCATCATTACTCTCTTTTCAGATTTGCTCGGCGATAAGTTCTTGTCTGGTTCATTTTCAGTAAATGGGTTCATCGAATGGATAACTGTGTAATGAAATCAGATCTATCAATGTTTGATAACTGCGTTGTTGAGTAAGCAGTTCTTCATACAACCAGGATTTAAATATTTTGGTCGTGGCGATACTCCTTTGTTGCATTCTGTTGTCGTTCCGATGGGGGGGGGAGTTGCTTGAATATTATTTAAAGACTTTCCTTCTAATGGTAACAATCTTATAGAGCTGCAAGAACAGGTATACGGGAATCAGTGAAATGCTTATTTGGATGAGACACAAATGTTGTTGACAAATGAGTAATAGTATGTGTAACAGTGGTGTTCAAATTAGACAGAATTAATGAACACATCTGAATACATAAATTGAGAAACAGTCCTCTGGATTAGCGACATTTTAGGGTTTACCACTTAAATTAGCTTTCTGAGTTTACCAAGAAGTAGTAGGGATTGTATCATTAAGCTTCACTCAAACTATCGTTTTATAATGTGTACTGTAGGGTAAGTTCTTACTTCTAGAGAAATTCCACAAGAGAAACAAACTAAGAACATTACTACATTTCTTTCAGAAAAATTAGTCGACAAATCACAAGTTCGGATATGCTTAGAGTACATCGTTTATTGAAAGTACGATTACCTTGAAAAAGTTGTCAAGCTAATGTAGGTACTAGGTAACAGTAAATTCTGTCAAAATGTGAACTATTTTCCCACCGTTTCATGGTTGTTAAGCTGTTACACAACTAGAAATAATGAATCAAAGATTGTACTTCCGATAATCGCATACTATAAAACAATAAGTCGTTGCATTAATGTTCATTTAAGACCTCTGCAATCTGATCAGCCTTGTCATTCTCAAATATTGTGTGGATATTCCATATCTCAATGCTTACTTTTGTTCTCATCAAAGGAGGGCACATTAGTTGGCAGCCTTCTCGAAGCCTTTAGATGTCATCTGTTTTCCCCCGGACTCCGGAGGAGAATAAGTTACAATATTCTGTGCTTTAGAGTTTCCCTACTGATGGGGCCGTTATTTACAGCCCCATGGTCAACCTTCTCCCTTTTACCAGGCTTAGAAACGACTAACAAAATGAATAGAAATCATAAACAGTGAGAAACCCTGTTGGCAAACCAGCCAAGAACCTAACTACCAAACAAAATATATAAAAGGAAATAGTGGTGAATTTGATATAGTCTGTGGGAAACTTCAAGCGATTTCAAATGTTACAGGTAGGCTGTCGAGTGGAAACTGAATGGCAAGTGAACAAGTTACACGTGGTTTTGAGTGTGACATGGAGAAGATCATTTGAACAGACAATGAAATCCTTTGTGCATTGGCGGTGTTAGATCATAGTGGTAGCAGAGAATCGCGTACAGTAGCGTTAATGTGCATCTGAAGCCCTATGTTCTATTAGAAAATGAAGGAACGGATAGTGATAATACAATAATAATCACAATGTTCATTTAAATACCTTATTACCGATAAGATGGGGATTACAGAGTAGGTGACTGTTATATATATATATATATATATATAATTTTACATTAGGACATCAATCTAATCAGTAAATAGTAAAAGAAGATTGAAAATTTGGAAAGAAATGTTAACTGCAGTACATTTTAAGCTACTGTGATCTACACAACAGAAAAAGTTAATAACAACAGCTTTATTCTGAGAAAAATGTGTTTATACATGATACAGAAATTCCATTGAGTTCTGTTGCAAGGTGTTTACCTGATGTATAGAATCTTCAAATAATATAACAAACAATTGATAATACATCATCTGAAGCAATATTATTCCATCCGAAATATACTTCATTGCTACTCCAAAATCTTCCTACTAGATTTCTTCCAAAAAATTCCTAGCGAGAGGCAGGAGACTGTTTGAAATTGTGCGCAAGTATAGGTTTCAGCCTACTCTGAAAATTAGAGGCTTAGAATAATTTGAAACTGAGTAAAAGCGATTCATTTTGATGGATGGAAATTTTACGTATCCCAGTGATTTAAGAAGGCTGGTATGCTATGTTTACTGACAAATTTATCTTAAAATCACAATATCAGGTAATTGTATAGGTTATGCTTACTAGTTTTAGCATACGAAAGGTTTAATTGGGCTTAATTCACTCTTGATGTATTTCACTCTTTGTCCTACCTTCATTTTTTTTACCATTCTGTTCATTCATTCTATTCGGTGTAAATCGTTGAAAATAGGGAGAGAGAGACATATTTAAAGGGCTTGGAATCAATAATGTATCATCTATTTTAAGTTGTGTAATTAAGATTTCCCAACCAAATTTCTGTCAGAACAGGGACTGTTGGTTTAATAACTGAGGTCCTGTCATAGTTAACGCTTTTATGAGTTGTTGTTTGTTCTCTCAGTCTAATAACGCTTTCGATTCGATAAGTGTGTTACCGCCAGTACATATGATATATTGCTGAAATTAGTATTTGGACAGGTGTTACTTATTTTGTTCATCAAAACACTTCTAAAATTATATCTCCCTAGTTCCTTCAGACCCAAAGTGGATAAGTGTACTTAAGACACAAGACGATAAGACAATATCAGTTACTAGATAAAATTTCGAGTACAGTTTCTCTCCTACAGTCACTTCAAAATGATACGAGCTACTTGGAATTAAAATGACATTTCTAAGGTGAATTTGACTTCACTTTAATTTTTGTGTAAGTACACTTATGCTGTATGGTCTTAATATCATGATGACCAGATTAGCAACTGATACTTACAACTTAGCTAGTAGAAACTCGGAATTCATAATTTGGAGGCTGTTGTTTAGAATCCTACTGCTACTTAGATTTTCATTTTACTTTCTTCACTCACCATCCATTACTTTATTACCGTCCCCATAATTGACCTGGTATAGCCGAGAGTGAGTAGACTTCAGCCTTTCTCTTGAAATGCTTTTATTTAGCCGTGCGTCAACAGCCTCTGCCAGACAAGTCCTACTCACTGCTTTCATGTGGTCACAAAAATGAAGGGGCGAATGAGCATATCTGGCTCTTACAATTTAACTGGTGAACATGCACTTCTACCCGCGGGTAGTTAGAAAGTCTTGGCACAAAATGGGATTTTGTGTGGCGCATCTTCTAGTGCCCATAATATACCAAGCTTGCGTCATAATAATAATGATACTTTATTATCAGTCTGCGGACCCAAAGTTTTCTCAGACAGGTTCTCTGTCTATTACTGCTTTATGTAAATGTTCTCTCTATACAAATTCTATTTATAGTATATGAAATTTTATAAACAATTTTATTCGAAGAGGTGATTGTTTAAATGTTTGAAAATATGTCTAATCAGAGTACTTTTGAGGCAGTGCCATATTTGTGAACATTTTTCTCTCTTTTTTATTCTTTCAACATTCAACAATATGTGATCCCAATATTTAACAAACAATTATAACTAGGACTCACAAAAAGGTCAGTTGGAGAAACTCTTACAGGCTCAGTCGGACTATTTTCGAACTTGTATGGATGCAGTGAATTCAGCATTACGTGAATTATAAAGGAGAAATGAAAAAGGTGAGAAAAGAGTTAGTTGAACATTCAACATATATTTACATTTGTAACGTCACATATATAGTTTTTATTCCTTTGCCTTTCCAGCGGAACATAGAGATTCAGGCCAGAGGTTTGAAGTCTCGGCAGCAGCGGTGTTTGTTTTTACGGGATGGGGTTGCTAGCCTCATGTCCAACATCCCCTCTTTACTGGTTTTATGAGGTCAAGGGGTGCGTCGACCGAGGATGGAACGCCGGACCACATGTATGGTTGGCGAGTATTCTTCCACTGTGCCACCGACCCACAACGATATATATATATATATACGTATATTCGTCGGTGGCACAGCGGCACAGCCGACCAATGCACATGGTCCAAGGTTCGATCCCCTGTCGACGCACACCTGATATCAATGTTCGGCCTGCAAAATTTAGGCTACCAATATCACATGCTGAAAATTCCATGGTTGTACCAAAAGTACTGTGTGAAATCAAGCTATAATAAATATATATTACTTAATTCCAGTATCTTGTGAAAAGTAACCTAACTATCGTTTATCACAAAATTACTTGGTGTAATCATTTCAGAAACATCCAGATTTCTGCAGTACTACAGATTTATGTTTCTTTGACTTAATATTTAACTTTATGTAGTTCGTTTATTTCAGCACTAGAGTGTGTATTCAATAGCCTCAGAGCTCGAATCTTACATCAAATACATGAACCTTTGCAAATAAGTAGTATCACCAGCCGTCATATTGTAAGTGTAGCTTTTAGCTTAACTCACTGTTATACTCAGTAGGATAGAGCTGTTGATTAATGTAACAGGTATATTAAGTACTTCAGCTCTGAAGTAATCACATAATCAAATTAAACAGGTATCGATACGTAGATTATTTTATAAGAAATTCACTGCAGTTTTAGGATGCTATCCTACCTATAGACAATTTCCTAAAGTATTCGACTATGGCATTCACCAAAAAGTTAATATTAACCGTGCAAATCTGTTAGAAACTTTGTTTGCAGCTAGACATTTCCTGGAACAGGTGAGTTATTTCCTAGTTAGTCAAAAAAGAGGAATTAAATTATATGGATTAAATTTAATCTAAGTTCGATAAAACATCTCAGGAATAAAGAGTATATTGGACACTATGACTGATAAATGAAAATAGCCAGACATTAGTACTTAAGAGACAACCCTATGGTTTACAGAATGCCGAAAAATCATACAGTAACTTTCTAAACGGTATTTAATGTTTTATGTCTGTATATGAAATTGCTGACACATTGATTTCCGCCTTACTGACCAAAACACTAATGCGCTAACCTGGATATCTAATTGGAATCCCGTTTTTTGATTTCGAATACGTAATATATAAACATGATGAAAATAGTTCGCTGGTTCTAACCCGTTTGCAATGTTTCTGCAATCAGTATCAACTGGCAGTGGAAACAGTGTTCATAAGCACCAATTCTCTACTATTTCTTTCGAGTTGACAGTTATGCAACAAACACCCTTGGGTTTAGAAAATGGTAGACGCTACAAGAAATTTTTTGGAGAAAACAGGGGTGATAAAGATACCTAACGAATAACAAGAAACAACGACCACCATCAATGGGAGATATCTAATGGAAGTCACCTCTTTCACTTATCTAGATAACATCATTCCAGCCACGTACGTGACGCACAGATAAGGATGTAAAAGGCACGATTGGGAAAGCAAAACAAACCATCACTAATTTAAAACGACCGTGGATTTCCGCTGAATTCAGAATAAAGAGCAAGATTTAGATTTTCAAAGTTAATGTCAGGTCAGTACTTCTATATGGCTCAGTGACTTGGCATGTCACCGACAGCATTTCTATTAGCCTGCTGCAGACTTTTACCAACAGCTGCCTTCACTTCATCCTGAAGGTTAGATAGCCAGAAAAGACTAGCAGCATGAAACCCTGGGAACGAATGAACCAAGAACCAATTGCCCAACAAGTATGCAGGAGAAAAAAGAAGTGGACTGGACACCACCTACCAGATCGTCGAGTGATATCGCGCTCCGGATAGATTCACTAGTGAAATCGGATGGGGACTGTCGAGTTGGACGTCCCAGGGTAACATAAAGAAGGGAGTATCAAAGCTCCTGGGCAGTTGCAGAGCCAGTTGGAAAAGACTACAGCAGAAAAGATGAAATGGAGGTGTGCTATTGAAGGCTTATGTTCCATTCAGAACCCAAGGGAATAATTTATATATTTATATATGTGGTAGTCTAAGAGAGAGATATAACCATACTTTATCCTTTCATACCTAGTTACTTTATACAGACGCATATACTTCAAGTGTCTTAATTAAACACTAAATCAAGAAGCATGACTAATGTTGAAGTTATTCTGTTCAGCTCATTTAAGAGAGGGTTAATGATGTGGGTAAATGAATATCATTCATTCATTCATTCGTCTTCCTAAGTGATAAAAATCTTTAGAATGAAAATGTGATTAAACCCATGACTTATATATACCACTTTTATACTTTTTATCATTTTGAACGAATTATATTTTTAGGATAAAGACGTTTGGAATCAACGACGTACACAATAAAATTCGGTGGGATTTCTGCTAATTTTTCAACAGTTATTGTGCCTTATTTTTTGTTTTCTTCAAAATCATCCTGTTCCCTTTTTAAAGTGAAATTATTCGCTCAATTGTTGCCTGTGATGCCTTCGTAAATGTTTCTCTTTTTCTAATAATATTTATAATTTAAAAAAAAACAGAATTTTTCTTCCCCATCGATGGTTTTTAAAAAATATGCTGAGTTAACCACACTGAATTTTACCTTTTTTCCTATCATTGCCTACTGTGATACTGTTTATATTTTTGTTTAACAATTTAACCAAGAATTTCTTTTCTATTCTCTCATGAAACCTTTTTCCCAAAAAAAAAATAAATTACATCATTGTTATGCAAATACATTTATAAGTTAAATCATTGCTTAGGAGTGACCTTTAAAACATCTTACTGAAGGGAACAATATAGGAAGTCATTGATATAAGTAGAAAACTTGGGCATTGTGGTAGAGAGTATAACTCCATTATGGATAAAACTTTATTTATTATTATTATTGTACCCTTTAATTCCTAGAGGAACATAGGGCTTCAGCCGTGCGTTTCCATTGCGTTCGGTTCTCTGCTAGAGTCTTCACCTGGCTCCAAGTCTGCCCACACGTTTTCATCTCCTCTTCACATGACCTCCTCCAAGTCACCCTTGCACTGACGACCAACTCGCCGCTTCCCTTTCGGGTTCCACTCGAGCGATGGCCTGTCTAGTGATGTCACTTGATGGTTTCGTCAGAGTATGGCCAGCCAATCCATCTCCATTTCTTCCTGCCTATTTGTTTCACAATCGGTTCCTGGTTGGTTCGTTCATCGCCAGAGATTTCTGTTGCTGATCTTTTCTGGCCGGTCATCTGATCTTGAGTATTGAGCGAAAACATCTGTTAATGAAGGTCTGTAGTTTGTTTGAGATGCTCTTTATGACGCGCTGGCCAAGTCTCTGATCCGTATAATAGCACTGACTGACTTCACATTGGAGTTGAAAATCCGGATCTTATTTTCGATGCTGAGTGCTGTTGACCTCCACACAGACTTGAGAGTAGTGAAAGCTTGTCTTGATTTTCCGATTCTTGCTTTGATATCCTCGTCAGTTCCGTTCGCCTGTAGTTGAAACGATGCTTCTCAGGTAGGTAAAAGAGGTTGTTTCTTTCAGGTTCCTTCCATTTATGCTGATTGTTGTCTGTTGTTGTTGCTGTTCGTGGTGTTGCCCAGGAATCTTCATCACCTCTGTCTTCTCTATGTTCACCTGAAGTCCATGGATAAAACTTTATTTTGATAAAATCACAGAGTGTTGTACAGTAGGTAATATTTACTGATGACCACGTTTCGAGCACAAATTATTGGCATTCATAATCATATCAAGGCACACACACAACTCTCTTGCTTCATTTATATACATGAGTAAAGATTGATTAGATATTTGAATAAAATCAATATAAGATAAAGTAAATTCAGAAATAATATTAGTATTATCGATAAAATACAATCAGATGGGGAATAAGATGTTTTTTACAGTAAAATTAAGTAGCTTGTTAGAATGTTATTATGTGAATTGAGTACACTTTAACATTAATTAATAATATCTTCCATATCTCTGGTATTTGCGTTGAGTCACTTCTCTTGCATGTGTTGGGTGCAGACTCAATGAACCAGGCAGGATTCAGTAATCAATCTCTTTCTCCACCTACCTATATTACTTTTTAGAATTTGGACTCTGTCCCACCCTGTTGTGTGGTTGTGTGTTATTGCGTGCAGTGCAATCGCTGAGTTTTTTTTAAAATTATTTATCTTCGTGGGATGAATCATTCTAACTTCAGCTAAATTCTTGTGTTCTAATAATCTCACTACTCATGATCTACTAGTTTGAAGCGAGGTCGTTCCCTTCACGAGCTAGCATCGATCGAATACCTTCTGGTAAATGATGGTAAAACTGAGTGGCTGCATTTTATCTGCTATTAAAGCTAAATATGTAAAAGCCATAAATTAAGGTTTCCCGCTTATTTGCAGCCATCAGACATGCCTAATTGCTGTTTTCAGGATGCTACTGTTTCATCACAGATCTGCACCCTAGTTTTCATATTGACTTTACGGATTATGACTGTTTTTCAGGTCAAAGTAACATCAGGGAATAAAATTTTCTTTTCACTTGCAGAGATGTTTCGCTAGAGGATTGTAAAATCATAAAAACTAACTTGACTAACACTTTCCTCTAGTGACAAGTAATAACTCAACAGAATGTACAGAAATATGATGTCAGTTAGTCTAGTGTTGTCAATGAAAGGAAAACTTGTGGTTTCGAATCGACATTGGGAACTAAGGAACAGCGCTGATTGCCATTCGTGAACCAGTAACCATCCGTTCATATATTATGGAAATTAAACAATCGTAATGTGTGAAAATTTTAACCAACCATCTTCTAGTTTCATCAGTGATTGTCTTTTAATCTGCAACGTGATTAACCAGACAGCATTAAAATACACCTAAATGTTTTAAAGATAAAGTTTGTCACTGTATGTCAGGATTTGCACGGGATTAAATAATAATCTAGTGACATTGATTATAGCATTCAACTGATCTGATGATAGCAAGATAAGTGAATTAGAATGTGAAAACTTACGCAATTATCGAATATGCAAGAAACAGTCATGTGAATTTTTTCGAAATACGCTAAAACATGTAAACAAATATTTCCAATGCCTCACTTTTGTTAAAATCTAACTATTCTATGAGCGATAAGATAGTTAGACATAATACTTTTTTTAACGCCTCAGCTGATAGTAGAAATCAAAAACTTTTAGAGGTAAATTCCTTCATCATAAATAAAACGCTTTCGTATGTTGAGTAAGGTGACAAAATCATCTTTGAAAACCGACTCTTTACTTCATTATAAAGTATCTGATTATTTACTGAAAGTAAAAAAAGCTTGTTAGATTTTCAATGAATTTACGTTTTGGCAACAAAACACCGTCAAGTTTACGTCTTTTGTTATTAACTTTTTACAAATGGTGATTGGTAGTTTGATCAATAAAAGAGAATGAGATTTTTTCCTTCAGTTTGCTAACCACTATCACTTGCTGACAATCAATGAAGATTGAACAACTTTAGCTAATAAATTAATTTTCAGGTATTGGTTTTTGTAGGGATTTTGTTTGATTTCTTTGGAGGATTTCATCATGAGCTGACAGCAGTTAGAAAATCATTGGAAAACCTGGGAGTACTGGACAACCAGCTGTTTTGTCCTAGTTTGGGACTCTTCAGAGTACGCACCCACCACCAGGGTTCGAATCCAGGACCTTCTAGTTACAAAGCGACCTCGTAGACCATTAAGTTGGACCATTAAGACATAGACCATTCAGAAGACATTACGAATTGTTCGCGCTATGTCATGAATTGGCAGAAGTTAGAATTCATGGGCCATTGGATCGGGTCTCAGTGGATTAATGGTCCACGAGGTCGCCTTATACCGAGAAGGTCCTGGGTTGTAAACCTGGCGTTGGGTGCGTACTGTTGAAGATTCCCAAACTAGGGCAGAACAGCTGGCCAGTACTCCCAGGTTTTCCAATGGTTCTCTAACCAGTGTCAGCTCATGATGAAATCCTCTAACCAGCCCCACTACTTAACTCTGATCACTGCATCATAAGAGTATTGCCCAAGGTATATGGAAAGCTGCACAAAAGGGTCTTCTCCCACCTTGGAAAGAAAACACAACACAGATGCTATTCACATGATAACATACAGAATCTAAGGACAATGTTAAAAGACACAAACTGGGATCTGTTTACTGAACAAGCTCTTGACAACACAATTAGTAACATAACACATTATCTCAATTTCTGTCTTGATGTTTGTTGTCCTAAAGAGACAATCTTCTTAAAGTTCGACCGTTTCGCGTCATCTCAACTCAAAAAGCTTCGCCGTCAAAAAGAGAGGTTATACAAAATGAAAAATAAATCTGGTGTTAAGAGAATAAACACTTTGATTAAAGCCGAATTACAAAGATTAAATACTCTCTATAACCAGAAGTTTCTTTCATGTAAATCCTCATCTAATATGTGGAAGCTATTAAAGGAAATCACAGGTGGTAAGCAAATAATGAATGATACTTCTGTCGATGTTGATATGCTAAATAAATCCTTCATATGTATCCCTGCAGATGTTATGATTCCCAAATCTAATAGTATAAATAATGACTGCTTTTCATGTTTTAACACGAATGATGTCCTCAAGTGTCTTCAATCTCTCAAACCTACCCAGTCCCTTGGTCCTGATGGAGTTCCTGCTGTTATCCTTAAGAAGTGTGCTGACATCTTATGTTACCCATTAACTGACATTTTCAATGAATCTTTTTCCAAAAGTTTTATTCCTGACTCATGGAAAAATATCAAGGTTGTTCCAGTGCCCAAATCAACAAGTGGACCTACTGTCAAGTTTAGACCCATTGCTATTACCTCACCTTTTTTAAAAGTTATGGAAAGACTTATTTTACTTAATCTTGAACCCTCTTTAAAGCCTTTTAACGACCCTAACCAGTTTGCCTATAAACATAGTAGGTGTACCCTAGATGCCGCTGTAGTTCTATATCATAATATAGTCTCTAGTTTAGATAGAGGAGCCAAATATGTTCGGTGTGCCTTCCTTGATTACACATCTGCATTTGACTCTGTACCTAGGTCTCTCTTGTTAAGTAAGCTTGCTGCAACACAGAGTGAGAGCTGGATAAATAAGTGGTTGTATTCCTACTTTTCTGATAGGAAGCAGTACACTGTCTACAATGGAAAGTCCTCCTCTACCTCACTTACTTTAGCTGGTGTTCCTCAAGGTGCCGTTCTTTCTCCTTTTCTGTTTTCTTTTTTCTTACATGACTTGCCCCATTCTGATGTAGCCACTTTTGTCAAGTATGCTGATGACCTCTCTGTCTCCATGCCTGTCAACTCTCAGTCAGACTGTTCCATATTAAATAACTTTCTCTCGGAAATTAGTCAGTGGTCCTCTTCAAACGGTCTTAAGCTGAATCCGTCTAAATGTCAGGTAGTAAATTTTACTTTCAGACGAAAAAGTGACCTTCAACAACTAGCTAGCTCACATGGTCCCACTATCATAGACGGCATAGAGGTTGAAACTACATCAGATGTCAAGTACCTTGGACTGAGTATTTCCTCCGATCTTTCCTGGTCCTCTCACATCTTGCTAGTGACTAGAAAGATGTTTCGCTTAACGTTCTACCTTAGGAAGTTTAGGCAGTCTGGTATAAAGCAGTCTTTACTTTCTCAGTTTGTCAATTCCTGTATTCTACCCATCCCTCTTTACTGCTCCCCATTAATCTTTCCAGGACTACTTAAGAAAGACTTTGCTTCGCTGCGTAGGGCACTAAAAGCT